TTTCCCTCCCCCTGCCTCCCACTCTGTCTCTGATGAGAAAGTATGCTTGTCCACAAAAGCTTATACCTGGAATAAACCATGTTTGGTCTTAAACACAAGGGAGGGAGGGAGAGCACTTCCCTTATACTTATGGAACTCACTTCCACTGCAAGTTCTCAGATGCTTCAGCATCTTCCCAAACCATTTGTAAAACTGATCAGTTTGGGCTAATCTTTGGAATTCAGGATTAGACCAGGCATCGATGGGCCCATTTCAGAGAACTGAATGCATTTTTACTCAGGTCTGCTAGGGAAGGGGGAGTATGTGGGACAAAATTCCAGGGTGCCCACGCAAGACACAGCTGGTATGGGACCATAACTTGCCAACACTCCTAGACCTAATCTTCCCCCTGCTTCCCTATGTGAAAGAGCTGGATCCTCTTTGATCCACACTTGCTTTAAATACCCCATTATGGTGGAAGGTACCCCACCCACCCAAACTAATATCCAAGCTTGACTGCATGAATACATTAATAATCAATTGAACAAGGATGTCAATAAGCTGGAGCAAGTCCAGTGTAGGGGGGGGGGGAAGGAGGAGGAGGAGGAGGAGGAGAAGAGTTAGTTTTTATGCCCCGCCCTTCACTACCCGAAGGAGTCTCAGAGTGGCTTATAATCTCCTTGCCTTCCTCTCCCCACAGCAGGCACCCTGTGAGGTAGGTGGGGCTGAGAGAGTTCTGAGAGAACTACAACTGATCCAAGGTCATCCAGCTAGCTTCATGTGGAGGAGTGGGGAATCAAACCCAGTTCTCCAGATTAGAGTTTGCTGCTCTTGACCACTACACCATGCTGGTGAGGGGTTACTGTTCATGTGCCAACTATGAGGAGAGGACGAAGGAGCTGGGAATCTCTATGTTGGAGAAGAGATGCTTGCCACCTTCTGATACTCAAAGGGATGCCATGAGGAGGATGGGGCGGATATGTTTTCAGTCATGTTGGATAACAGGACTCGGACTAAAGGGTATGAACTACAGCAAAGGTTTTGTCTAAATTTGAGGAAGAACTTCCTGATGGTGGTGTGTTTGACACTGGAACAGTCCCCCTCGTGAGGTGGTGGATTCTTCATTGTTGGTGGTTATCAACTGGATATCTGCTTGTCAGGGATACTGTAGTTCCTGGGTTAACAGGGGATTGGACTAGACGATCCTGGTGGTTCCTTCCGACTCTGAGATTAAATAAAGTACCGTAATCTGTTTTCCTATGATGTCTGGGATGGATCGGAGTGGTATGAAAAGGGCCCAGGGGGAATGTCTGTCTAAGGAACTTCCAGTGGCCCTCCTTTGGGATGGACACTTGACGCAATGGGAAATTTCCCCCAGATCTAAGTATGAAGAGGATCAGGTAAGTGGTAACCCAGGAAAGGTAAAGTAGAGGTATAGGAAACAAAAGACAACAATGCAAGGAAAAATTGAAGGAAGCAGGAAAACAGGAAGACCCACCATGAGATGGATTTACTCAATCACACAAGTCACAACTCTCAGTTTGCAAGGACACTTGGGAGATCATTCATTTACCATGAGTCAGAAGTGACTTGACAGCCCTTAACACACACACATATGTGGGGAGCCCACATACTATCAGAATACTAATGCGACCTTGAAGTGAGGGTAGGAGTCAAGTCGATGGGACAGCTTGGCTATTAACAAAAAGAAGACTAGAGCCAAGGTTTGGAGAAAGAGTAATGGTAGGCAAAGAGGACGCAGCCACGACAGAGAGGCAAGGGAGGATAGATGACTGGGGGAAGAGACTAAAAGAACTTGATTAGTTCTTGACCTCTCTTCCCCACCCATAACTTCTTTAACTTCTTTTGAAACTTATCTCATAAAAGCACAAGGAACTAAAACACAGCTCCTTTTTCTTTTGTTATTTCAAATTATATTTTTAAAAGCACTTACTTTGCTTTCGAATCTTCCGCACCCGGATTTTTAATTCTTGAGGCAGCCGTCTCCAGTCTATGAAGACGAATTTAACCAGTCAGGTACACATGCAAAATACGAATGTGTAAAGTTCCTTTAAAAAAAATCATTTTAGGGCCATTAACAATTCTTGATTATTATTTTTTAAACAAGTTATCAAATGGCAATTTTGACTCTACAAGACGGTGTGGAGAAATGCCTGGGAAATGGTAGGCGTTATTCCTCACCAGGTAGCTCATGCTCCTGAATCGGAAACTAGCTATTCAGTCTCCACTAATCAAACTCATAATCTCTGCAATCTAGTTGTGGGGGATAAGGAGAGATTAAAAGGGAGGATATATATGGATATATATGAAATATCCCTTATGTTGTTTGTTTTTTAATACTTGCTGAGTATTAAACTCATTTTGGAGATCAACTTACCTTCCTCTGATAGAACTGCCAATTGCCTAGAGAAAAGGTCCATCAGTGGCTATTAGGCCACAAGGTATAGATAGGAACTCACAGGCTGGGGCAGGTGATGCACTGTATTCTTGGTGCTTGGGGGGGCAACAGTGGGAGGGCTTCTAGTGCCCTGGCCACACTGATGGGACCTCCTGATGGCCCCTGGTATGTTTGGCCACTGTGTGACAGAGTGTTGGACTGGATGGGCCTTTGGCCTGACCCAACATTGGCTTCTCTTATGTTCTTAAAAAAAAATGTTCTGTCCCTTTAACAGAGGCTTAATGGGATGTTTGACCTCCATGTCATGAAAAGCTTCAACTTTCCATGCAAGGGACAGGAAATTTTTCTCCAAGCCTGTTGGCAACCCTGTGACCTTTGACATTCCTTAAATTTACTGGGAAAGTAGCAAGCGACCAATCTAGCAAGCAACATGCAAAAGAAGAGCATATACGGCAATCTGATGTAAGAAAGCCATACCAAACAAACATATCAGAGCTGGTAACACCTCAGGGATTTGTGGTGCAATCCTAAACATATACAATCAGAAGTAAATCCCATTAAATTCAAGGGAAATTAATCTGTACAAAGTGTGTTCAGAATTGCAGTCTTAAGGCCAAAACAGAGGGGATGCAATTATAGGTCTCTCTCTGCCTGCAAAACATTTTATCTTGCATACTCATCATCTTCACAAACAAATGTCACAGCTTGGCCTTCACTGCATTTCATTGCCCTTTACCACCAGCTGTTTACAGTGGCTTTTCTCGATACCCAAGTGGGTACCTGGCAACTAAGAATAACCCTTAATGTGTCTGACTCAAAAAGGTTCTAATCCAGGAAAGATGATGCTGCACTAAAAACTGTTCAATATTTTTTTCCAGGTGTCACAAGATCTTTTGTTTCTGTAGCAACAAACCAGCATGTCTATCCCTCGGGGATATTAAAATATGCAAGAGAAAAATATTCCCAGACGCACCTGGGCTCCACTCAATAGCGTTATCAACAGGACCGGACATCTGGTATTTGTCAGAGTAACGCTCCACATCTGGGGGAGGAAAAGACAGCATATAAACTAGCATCAACAAACTGGAAGGGCCATTCTTTTTTAGATTTAGGGGAAGAAATGCCTTCCCCCACCCCAATCCACACTCCCATGCACATTAAGCCTTAGCTAGTATGAAAAGAGGGCCTGGGGGGGGGGGGGAACACAGGAAGAACAAACCATCTGGAAATCTTCCCCCATCCTCAAAAGTCTCCCAAGCTAATTCAACTCCTCCTCTCCATCCACTGACATTTTTTTCTTTTTACTGACTCCCAGCTCCCGTCAGCATTCCAGGCCTCAGGGAGCATGCTCAGTCCTCATCAGGCCATTTTCCTTCAGATTGATTTACAACATCACATTTTTCTACCTGGGGAGTCCCTGGAGTATGTAGAGACTCCTTCTTTGCCTGTATCTGGCCCCAATCTTTTGCTTTAGTCATCTGAACAGGGGCCAGCCAGTTTACTATTAGGTTCAGTGATACTCTCCAACATTCACATCACATTTTTCTACCTGTGAAGTCCCCAGAGTATGTAGAGACCCCTGCTTTCCCTGCATCTGGCCACATTTTGATGCTTTTATAATCCAACAGGAGCCAGCAAGTTTACAATTAGATACAGTGATACTCTCCAGCATTTCACAAATGAAAATAGGGGTACCCAAATTCTTATGCCAAGGATCACCAGTTCAGCACGCCTGTGCACCCTGTGTTACTTATTACCCATGGCTGAAAGTCCCACTGCACTGTCATATTCATCTACTCTGCAGTAAACCATCTTCCTGAGATTTAAAAGGCAAGGAGGACAGTACGGTGCAGTGACCAGAATGTCAGATTAGGATTTGGGAGACACAGATTCAAATCCCCACAGTGCCATGAAGCTAGCTGTGTGATCTCAGGCCACTCGGGCTCTCTCAGCCTAGCGTACCTCACAGGGCTGTTGTGAGTACAGATGGGGGGATAACATATGCTTCTTGAAGGAAAATGGGATAAAAATGCAATACGCAGAATTATTTTTGGGAGGGTCAAACATGCGCCAGAGATCTTCATTCTACAATATGGTATCATTATGCACCAGAATTTATAAGGTATAGAAAAGCAGGCTGTGCCTTGCACGCTGCCTTAGTGTTCATGCACATGTATTTATATGCACATTCACCAGAGGTGAGACACAACTGCTACCAGCCAACTAAGCGATCTAACTTCTAGAGACCCTAGGAAGGAAGCTGTACCCTAGGCCAATAATAATAATAATTATTGTATGGCATTTTGTGTGGTATAGCCAGGAGATCCAAAGATTGTCTGGCAGCCTTAAGTTCTAACTCTTTTAGCATTATGCACCACTAGGTGGTGAGCTAGACTTATTTTGGGGGGCTGAGAGAGCTCTGAGAGCTGTGACTGACCCAAGGTCACCCAGCTGGCTTCATGTGGAGGAGTGCGGAATCGAACCCGGTTCTCCAGATTAAAGTCTGCTGCTCTTAACCACCACACCACACTGGCTCTCACCCTTGCCAATGCTAGAAACTCACCCTAACCTTTTAGCAAACATCCCCAAAGACAAAAAAGAAATAAGAACAAAGAGGGACAGGGACCAGAGAAGAGGCACACTTCCTAGTAAAGACAGGCAACTGGGACGCGCCACGTTGCACTTCTATTGCTTGCTCCTGGGATGAGACAGCATGAAAAAGTTGGCCCGAAACTATTATTGCAATTTTGCACTCTCTGAGTCAACAAAGACAAATCTTGCTCCACATTAAAATACTCTACCAAGAAAATTTGAATTCAGCAACCTATATAAGGATGCATTTAAATTGCATTGTCAAAGAAAGGTGGTAGTTTGCATGATTTCATTTGCTTCTGCTAGATGAAGGGGAACGCTGTAGAAGATAACCTTCACTCTGTCTAGTGGAAATATTGTTCAGCCTCCCCCCCCCGCCCCCGATTTCACAGGCATTACACACACACATTCATTTTCGAGTTCATCTTTGTAACCATAACGACTAAGAACTTTAAAAAAAAGGAAATTAACATTTTCAGGATGCTAGATTTTGTGCTCAACACCAAATCTTGTGCAGGGTAACTGCAGAATATGCACAGCTATGGCTATTATTTACACAACTGCCTGCGTAGAACCAGATGTTATTTAAAAAAATCTAGAGTTGGAAATGGCAATCTCCCCTTCCTGCTCTGTAAACACAAAGTACCACAATTCCAAAACTGAGTACCATGGAGATCTGCTAAGAGTACCATCAGAAATATACTTATAAGACAACCAAAAGCTCCTATTGATCTATATTCACAGAGGAGGCTGCCCACTAGGTCTCTGTATGATTCACTGGTCTAGCCCTGCCCACCCCCCGCAAATTCGCATATGTTTACAGCTGAGTAAGTCTGCCCCATCACTCCTTCTGACTGGCACAGTGCCATCCTAAGAGGAGCTACACCAAGTCTAGATCCACTGAAGTCCATGAGCTTAGAAGGATGTCACTCTACTCAAAATGGCACTCCAGTCACTCTCAATAAAGAGCTAAAGCAGAATTATGTATTCTCAAACGAGACTAGATCCATTGCACCCTCGGCAGCCAACCTTAAGTTGGTGAAAACCAGCAACTTGATGGTGACTTGGGAATTTGGAATGGCTTGGATCGGCATGACATATTGCCAGGCTCGGCTGTATCTTTATGACCTATGGATCAAAAGACTTTTTATGGCTCTTCTACATGTTATGACTCTTGAAGCAAACTGCCATGGGGCTTCAATAAGATGATTTGCAGGATTCTCTGTATGATGGCCCAGGCTAGCCTGGTCTCATCAGATCTCTGAAGCTAAGCAGGGTCAGCCCTGATTAGTCCTTGTGGTGGAACAGGCTGGCTTTGGCCTGCAGGCCCTGTTCCACCTGGCCCTCCAAGGTTTTCCCAACACCTGGAGAGGCTTTTCTCCCTCTACGGTAACTTGCCACCTCCACCTGACCTTTGTAGGAATTGCCTGCTGGGATGGTCAGGACTCCCAGCTTCTCTTCCAAGTTCTGAGGCCTTACCTCTTTGTCTCCCACTGCCCAGCACCTGGTCACCATGGGGACAGTTTACTGTCTTGCATGCCCTCCAAGGAATAGCCACTTGCCAACTGCCTGCCTTCCCCTGGCGCCCGTTTTTAAATAGTGTGTCTGAGACGGTGGAGGTCTATGTGGTACAGAGAACCACAACCAGCTTCAAAAGTTAATATAGTGTTTATTAACAAGAGAATGTTCACAAGCATACTTTTAGCACAGCACCAGGTTAGCAAAGGATTCAAAAGAAATGGGTATTTCCCTCTCTCTATACATGCCCTATCAGATGTTAAAATATAGGACAGGTTCCTTAGTTTAGGAAGTTACAGATCTCTACAGAACTAACATTACCTTGAAGATTCATCCAGCTCTTTCAGCCAGCACATGGTTAATGGCTGCATCCTCCAGACCTCAGTTAAGAGTTCTGCCTGCTCTGATGGACTCTGCACCAAAAAAAGAGGCCTTCCTCCTTGCTCCCCTAAGACAGCCTCCTTGCTCCCCTATTCTAGCCAGTTTGGTGTAGAGGTTAAATGCGCAGACTCTAATCTGGGAGAACCAGGTTTGATTCACCATTCCTCCACTTGAACCTGCTGGATGACCTTGGGCAAGCCATAGTTCTGGCAGAGCTGTTCTTGAAAAAGAACCGTTTCTGTCAGAGCTCTCTCAACCCTAACCCTAACCCCACCTATCTCACAGAGAGGGGAGAGGAAGAGAAAGGAGTTTATAAGCCGCTCTGATACTCCTTTGGGTAGTGAAGGGAGGGGTATAAATCCAATCTCCTCTTCTTCATCATCATCACCTCTTTTCCCCACCCACTGACCAGGTCAGACCAAGTTAGTGAAGCTTTTCCTGCAGTCTCTAGAATTTTCCTTCCTGAAGTCTCTCTAGTATTTAATTCCTCCAGATCTCTGTTCCCTGCTTGGAGGGTGGGGGAGCTTGATCATCCCATTATCTAGACCTGTGGTGGTGGGGGGGGGAAACTTGACCATCCCATTGTCTAGACCTATTAGCATTTATATGAAGGTGGGCTGAGGTCAGTCTGAAAAGCAATTGAACTGACTTCCCCCCATCCTGCCTGTTCTCTGCGCCCAGAGAGAAAAAACTTTTAAAACTCAGGGTGAAGGTTTTGCTCATTTCAAACCTCAAAAGAAAAAAAATGCATTTCGACTTCCGGTTTATGGCGGCGCGTTACCAGACTCACCTCCTGGACCTCCTGGGGGTGAAGCTGTGCTCCGGCCGAAGGAGGGGGTGCACAGGCTCCCCACCCCCCCAGAGACCCGGCCGAAGGGGCCCTGGCCAGGGAACTTTTGAGAGGTCGCCTCTTCGCCGGCGCAATGCCGGGGAATTGAGGCGCCTCTCTGTCCGGAAGGTTCTTTGTGCCGTGAGGCCGAATGGACTCAAGTGACGCTGACCGGGGCAAGTGCAGGAGGTCGAGCGGCAGAAATGATCATTAAAAGAGGTCTGAGGACCAACTATGAATGTGAGTCTAATGTAAGCGGCGGTTAAAGAGAAAAGAATGCTCCCTACCCCATTCTGTTAAACGGAAAGTGAGACGGGCGGGGGAGGGATGCCTCTCAACTGCATGAACTGTTGAGCGAATTGAGGGGGGGAGAGCAGAAGAGAAAGCGTGCAAAACTGTTAAGAAATACTCACCAAGGCGAATTCGAGCATTTGGGCACATATTCAGAGAACTTTAAAATACTTGTTAAAGTAAACAAACAAAAAAGATGGCGGGGAAGAGGACGGAGAAAGAGAAACTTCTGAAATCGAAACTAACGGTCCTTAACCCGAAGGACCAACAAGCTGGCAAAGACTTTGGTAGAATCCATGCGCCCCCTACTGGACCAGATGAATAACATCAAGGAGCAGATGTCAACAATGACCCAGTGTATCACCACACAGCAAACACAGATAAACGAGACTCTTAAAATGATGAATGAAACAGCTGTGAAGGTGAAAGAAGTGGACGCCACTGCACAAAAGGTGAAAAAGAAAGTTCAAAAGCTGGAAAAGAAGCAAATTTCTACGGAAGATCAGCTGTTACAACTGCAAATGGAAACGGTTAATATGATCCTTCGCTTCCAGGGCATGCCAGAGACCAAGGGAGAGAATCTTAAGGAACTAATGAGTGAAATATTGGCCCCAGTGACAGATATGAAGGCGGAACGTCTGTTAAACGATATGGATGTGGCCTATAGGTCATATTCTGGATATATAAAGAAAAATAATCTGCCTGGGGAAATTGTG